TTTGCTCTTGTCATCGTTGTGACTGCTTTTTGTTCATGACCCTACTATGACGACAGCCTGCCTGCCTGCCTTCCTATACCTACCTACCTACCTACCTACCTACCTACCTACCGACCGACCGACCGACCTACCTACCGACCTACCTACCGACCTACCTACCCACCTACCTACCGACCTACCTACCTACCTACCTACCTACCTACCTACCTACCTACCTATGTATACGCACATCCACATCTACATATACACCATCATCTGCATGTACATACATACAATCAGACCAGCAGACACAGGTAGGCAGAGACAGACAGACCGACGGACGGACGGCGGACAGACATCCATCCATCCGTCCATGGTCCATCCATGCATTCATGCATGCATCCATGCATACATCGGTACTACATGCGTACATACATATACCTTCATACATACATACATACATACATACATACATACTACATACATACTACATACATACATACATACATACATACATACATACATACATACATATTACATAGATGGACACATTATGAGTAGCTGAGTGCATTAGCAGTTGCCTGAGCAAGCAAGCAGGTACTTAAGTATGATGGTGTACTTGACTCACTACTTGTAAAATGCACTTGCAAACCAACTTGCTCGCTCACTCGCTCACTCACTCCGTCACTACTCACTCACAACAAACAGACTATCCAGATCGCGAACTAACTGACCCATTTCACGACCTTTACTTCACAGACCTAACTAACTCACTCACTCACAAACAAACAAACTAACTAACGAGCTAACGAACGAACGAACTAACGAACTAACTATCTACCGAGCTAACTACTGACTAGCTGACTGACAAACTAACTTGTTAGCTACATGAGGATCTGCAGAGGCTCACATGTAGCTTTGTGTTTAATCTGCAGGTCTTGTCGTTGTGGGCCTTCCACCAGAGGCAGACGTTGGAGGACCTCTGTGAACTGACAGCGGGGCGATTTGCCTTGTTCCGGGCATGCCAGGGGATCCGTGAGCTCGCAGGATTTACGGCTTCCTTGTGGCTCTGAGGTTTCAGAGTTTTGTGACGATTCCACGTTTGTATTCCCAGTGTCGTGCGGGAAGCCGAATGTTTTGCCGACTTCGTGCGATAGAGCAAGTACTTGGTTCTTGGCACTTTGATGACGAACACCTTTGGCAGCATGGCAATATAGCACCCGAAGGGCAGTGCCCGACGGCCATGTCTCTAGAGTCGGTTTTGCCTTCGTCAGATTGAAGCGAAACCTTCGTAGCACCGAGTTTCAGTAGCACAGGCACGCTTTGTAATTCCGTGTCGCCCTGAAGAAATCGGGCCTAGTGTGGCAGCGAATGTGGGGGATATGGATGGATGCGGTCGTAGCCAGTGCCTACATAGTGCATCAGAAACAAGTGTGAGGTGACGTAGCAACACGCCACAGGGTCCATTCGCGACGAAAGCATCTTCAGCTGTCAGGACCCGAACCCGGGACAGTGCAGTTCCCTGGCAGTGCTGCGCAAGGCAAGGCCAGAAGAGCGCAGTGTTTTGTAGCCCGATTCCGAAAACCGAGCTGCAGTGCAAGAATCTGCAACACGCTGCAAGACGTCTCCGCATGTTGATTTTTTGCTGAGTCTGATGGAACTGCCTAAGTATTCTTAATATATGCGTGACATGAGACCGCAAATCGGTCTGGCAGGTGGCATCTCTTCTGCAGTCCCTGTTCCTGAAGCTCTCTCCGCAAAGGCTGCTGATGCGATTAGAGGCAAACCGCCAAGTCTCATCCAGCTGGTACATTCTGGTATTTTGGGTGAAGCTGTCCAGTGCCAGGTAGTGCAGAAGACCCGTGTGCATGTTGCCTGAAACCCTGCATGTGGCTTGCGATCCCTGAAAGCTCCAGATATCGTACAGGATCGTACTTGGCACCAGTGTTTCTGACCTTGACTAGATGAGAGTCAGACGTTTGGTCCCGGTGCGCAAGCAAGCATTTTCACAAAATAGTCCCTGAAAACTCTGAGTGGCGTCTCGTGCAGAGGAATACCAAGAATCGGAAGCTTTGGTCCGGATCGTGCCTCGTTTGCAGCTTGGGCTGCGCGACCAATTCGGATGCATCCATTTTGTCTGCGTCAAGTTCGTACGGTTTGGGTGACCTCCGACAGGCTTCTCACTTCGGGGGGAAGTATGTGGATTTGATGTAGGTGTCGTGTGGCCGACGACAATTCGGCGAGAGCTGACTCATAGCTACAGGCACAAGCTTCCTAACTAATGAGGTTGAAAAACTTCAGACAGGCAGCCTTAACCGAGGACCCGGCCCATGGTAACACGGAGTCTTTTTCCAATCTACACAAGACCCATGCCCAACATCCACGCTTCGTGCAAGGCGCTGGCGACCGTGCATCAGAACGCGCAGCTGAGGTTGGGTTTTTTCCTGAGGTGTTTAGACCGCGCAGGGAAAGTTGAGGCAACTCAGCAATCTCAGAATTTGGGACTAGGTTCCTCTCGCTCCGCTGGTGATGTATGTTCAAGTGTGAATTGTTGGGCAAACAGACTTCCTAAGATCCGCAGAATATCACATGCCAGTCATGTGCTTACTTTAGACGGAGGGACTGCGCTCCTTTGATCTCGCTGCACCCAATTGTTCTGACCTGAGAAGTACCCAAACACGAGCTTTTGCACACCCTCTTGAGTCACAGAGTCGAGTAGTGTTGGACTGCCCAACAGTTGTGGGTAGCAAAGATTCTCAGCTCTAGGAATGTTTGCATGAGATCATATAATGGCGGACTTCTGTTCACAAATGGCATTGGAACAGCAGGCTGCAGATGGCGGTCAACTATGCCGAAAACAATGTGATTCCGGTCATGGTTGCGTGTCTGCAGGCACCGACTCAGAGTCGGCATCTGCACCGCGGATTGACTCACGCTAGTAACAGGAACCTCGGCCTGCCGTTGTGAATGGTGTTTGTTTGGATGGTGAGCATCAGCTCGACCTCACCATAGTGGCACCACTGGTACCTCCCACCTGCCTGTTAAAACTTCATGAGTGATGACAGTTGCTGCTTCGTGGATACGAGTGCTCCGAGAATGGTGCGGACTCTGTCCCCGAGATAGAGGCCGGACACCTCCTGCGTGCTGCTGCTACAAGTACATCATGTTACATCAGTCTTCGCCTTTGGCCTTGAGTTGAGAAGAGCAGATCACGTCGCGCAAGAGTTTCAAGAATGAAGACAATTTCTAACTTTGAAGTCTGACCACTCGTACTTCGCACGGCAGTGTGGGCATTAAGAATGCGGTGCCTGTCTTGGACATCAGGTGGCTTTTCGACACCTAGCAGAGGAGAAGTTGCCCATCGATGGCTGGTAAGTACCTCGGAGTTCAGAGCATTTCAGCGCCCAAGGGCCCTGGGCTCTGAAGGCTTGGGATTGGTGCCTTGAAAATGGCAAAGTCTCGCGAGCAGCTTAACTTGGATTCGCACAACGGACGGTAGATGTAAGCTATGCTAGCTTTTCTCACATCAGTCTTTTGAGGAGTTCGCTGATCGACCACACCTCGGAAGCATGACTGCGCAATGCGCACAAACATGAAGTTCTCGCCAGGGTGCTTGGCAACCGGAAGATTGTATGAATTGAAACTCTGAAACGATAAGTAGGACTTGCATAACCCTGTCTGTCATAAAACAATTGACCAAGCATCCAAGCCGCTTCCTTGGCACCCAGTTCAGACCAGGTCCTACGTCACCTACTGCTTGGAGGCCTCGAGATTGCCTCAATACCCTTGGAGCCAGAGATTTGGGTATTGGGTGCTGTGGCTTGAGAAATCTGGCATGGTGTTTCGGATTGACTCTGCGCACGCCACGCCGATGATCACTGTCATACTGATGAAGATAGTGCGGTTGACATATTGCTGGCTTTACTTTGATTGCTGTAAATCAGCCGCAGCGACAGGAGGCATAAATCCTAGAAGCATCCGACTGCTTATGCAGTTCCGCTCAGAAGCTCTTGCCATTGGGGCTCACCCGGTTCACTCTGCAAGATCTACAGCCCCCTTGCTGAACCCGTACATTCCTCTCAATCTCCTTGCAGGTCTGTTTGCATGTTTTGTGCAGCGCCCAGCTTCAGCGACAGTGACCCCGGCTTTGCCATGCAGGCTTAGGGTTGAGGGTGAGGTGACTTAATTGACTTTTCGTTTGTTTTGTGGGACCTTCGGGCTCCGCATTGGCGCACTATGCTTCGTTGATGTGGAACGTTGGTGTCCGGATGGCGGATTTCCTTTCGGATCTTTATGCCGAATTCCTACAACGCCACTCAGAGCCTGATTTAACTAAACCCTTAAAACACAAAGTCCCGGCCTCCGCACCTGTTCGCATACTGTACCATCTTCCCCAAGCGATGGAAACTTCGGATAGGGGGTGAAAGGCTTCAGGTCCTGCACAGAAGCTGAAGACTTGTTGTGCTTTCGGGAGGGAGGGGGAAGTCCACTGAGGTCACACTGGTCATGTCTCAGAGCAGCGCAGACCAAGGCCTGCGCTTGAACCGAGGAGGATCTGCGGCTGGTCGGGGTATAGGAGTTCCTGGGCCCTCGCACTCAGGCAATCTCACAACTCCACTCAAGGAGTCCTCCGAACCCGACCCTACAGTGCTGAGAAATTCGAGGGACCGCAGTTCGCTAGTGACGGCCTTGAGCTCCGACATGCTCCGCGCCAACACCATGCACTAGATAAGCAGATTTGCTCTCAACCACCTTGATCTGCAGGGGGGGGTTTCTCAAGCCATCCACAGGCATAGGTTGTTGTTCCTATGCGCAGTTTGGAAAGCTCGCAGCCACAGGCGGAGGCTCTGGACCCCGGGGCGGCGCCCGTTCGCTTGGCATCTGCAGGCTGCCACTGCAACGTATCGGATAGGGATCTGTCCAAAAAAACCAAAAGTCGCAACTGTCAAACACGAAGCACCACAGCCAAACTTGGAGCTCGAGAGTCTCATGGAGCCACAGATCTAGACCTCGGAACGGCCATGACCATACGCGGCCGGCTACCATGTCGCCATTATCGCCATTCTCGTGCCCCCATGTCAGAGAATCTCAGCCAATAGCTAGCTTCGGAGAAGCAGAAGTCTTGTCCATGTGCATCTCGCAGATAGCAGAAGGAGGTCTATACAGGAGAGTAGAAGCCCTTGTTACACCATTCACTTAAGTGTGAAGCTGATCACCAGCTGGTTCCTCTTCCAAAACCGCCTGAAGCCTTCAGCGCTGCCAGGGGTCGTCGACGTCCTTGCCGAACTCATCGATGCACCGGCCGCCGGCGTGGAATTGTTCTGACCTCAGTGAGAGAAAACTCCAAGCACACCAATTGGCAGCGTCCAAGTTTGGAATGACTGTGCTGGCAATGTCGCCACCACCGACTATGGTTACCAGATGTCCTTTCTATGAATAAATACTGCCAGATGTACATATGACTATCAGTATGGCTCAAGAGATCAACGAAGCTGCCAAACCCTGGTGGCCCGAAGGGGTTCTATCCCAGCTCAGCTGCCAACTGCTGACGCGAGCTTGAAAGGAGAGAGACACCTTCGGCAGCAGTGGTGCAAAAGGCCCGGAAGGTTTGTGGAATTCGCGGCCGCGCTTCTGCCTTCAGGCTGTCTGGTTTGACTATCCGGCTGTCTGGTGCTTAGTAGGGAATGGGGGAATGGGTTATAGGGACTACTATAAGGGACCTTAAGGGACTATCATAGGGATCCATTCCCCCATTCCCTACTAAGCGCCAGACAGCCGGGTGCGGCTGGGGTTGCTTGCTCGGATTCACCAGGTATCAGGTTCCGACGTCACAAGAAGCTCGCCGCGGCGATGTCGTATTCGCTTGCTCCGGTTTTCGGAAAGCAATCCTCCTGCACTGCCCCAGACTCCAAAGCCTCTCTACTCCCTGACAGCGAAGGCGGGTGAGACGCTGCACGCACTGTTCGAGCGGAATGGCCACATCTGTCTGTTCTGCATGAAGCACTACACAGAGGCCGGTCCGAGCTTTGCAAGTGAAAGGCTGGCGTGCTGGATTGATGGACCCCAGAAGCAGGGAACCCTGAAAAGCCATTCGAACCCCGCCACCTAGCTCCCAGCGGCACCACGCAGGTGAAGCAAATCCTGCTGGTCGGTTGCGAAAGTGGGGTCCTCGGTTCTGCAGTTCAAGGCCTTTGTGATTTGCCATTTACAAGGAGTCGGGCTGGAGATTGATGGGCACTGGGGGAGGATTCAGAGGTACCTAGGTGACGGGGCCTGTAGGATATTGAAGCTTCGGGAGCAACGGGGGTGACCTGATCCCGCGTACGCGGCCAAGCAGTGAAAGAACGGCCCAAGCTCGGGAGCCTGAGCACCGGACCGGAACTCCGGTCTAAACTCATGCGAGTCGAGAGGTTGGGAGCCTGGAGGGACCGCTAGAAGACCACACCAGGGCGAGAGGAGAAGATCCAACAAAAACTCCACAGCCCCATCTGACGGTGGTGATTTTGGTGAGGACAAGCAGTGCCCCTTCCAGCTCTTAAACACTTCGAGCGTTTCTCAAACAAAGCACCATCGAACATACCTCGTTATTGGACCGACGAGCACGACATCGTGTGGCCCGGCTAGGACCTGACTTTGAAATGCTTCGAACATGTCGAGCCGAAGTTCCGGGAGGCATCGTGTCCGATCCCCTCAGCGACCATCCTCAGATGCAACAGGAGGCCCGCCTCGCTGGTGAGCTATCTGTAATGACAGCTCGCGAGATGAGAAATCTGTCGATTGCTTTGCGGTCAGAGCCTACGCGTTGTGCAGCAGTTGGGGAGCTTAGGGCTTCGAGGCGGAGGGAGTGACCAGAGTCTTCTGTGTCATCCAACTCAAGACCACGGAATCGCCACGTTCGGTTACGGTAGCCTCTTCTGGGTGAGCTGAACATGCTGGCAGATCACTAGAGGACCCGATGCACCCGAATGCCATCATGATTCACGATGGTGGTCACAATGCTAATGGTTATGGTGGTGGTGGTGGTGGTGGTGGTGGTGGTGGTGGCAATGATAGTAATGCATAGTGGCGATGCCGATGGCGATGGCGATGTGACCTTGTTCGTGGTGGTGATACTGAGAGTGAGTATGAGAATGACGATTTCGTGATGAGGCTGACTTTTGACAACGGCTACAATGATGTTGACAGCGATGCCTACCTTGCTCTCTCTCTCTCTCTCCTCCTCCTGCTTCTCGTTCTCGGGGCCGTGACCAGTATCAACAAAGCTGTATACACCAATGAAGACAGGCGATTGAGCTTTTCTCAGCCGCCTTCGAAAAGTTTGCCATGAAGGCTTCTGCTGCATACAGTCAAGCTTCTAGGCCTCACAGGGGACTGGAGGTGTTGCCGTGGGCTGTGGTTGCACAGTCAGATTCACTGGGCTCCTCATGCAGCACTTGACATACCGCCCTGTGGGCAGAGGACGAGCGACTGGGCAGGAAGTTGCTGAAGGCACGCGTGCAGCAGATTTCAGGTTGGGTTCGGGATCTAGTCGGTGAAGCACTCTATCCACAGGATGCATGTCTGACAGGAGCTTTAGCTGCCACCTTATTTCGGCGGTGTTGTGTTGTGTCACTACAATTAGAAATCTGGCCGGTGCAGTCGTCAACTCTGGTCAGACCATTTCGGGATAACGCGGCTGAAACAGGTGTTCCTGCTCACACTTTGAATGCATTGAGCAGTCATCTGCACCTCGTGCGACTTCATAGGGTAGAGCAGACTTGATCCGAAACCAAAGTCACCATGCCATCAAACAGTCGGCGGTTCGAGAGCAGCCCGGAAGACTATATACACTTTTTCACGAATCAGCTTACTGTCTTGCGGCCCTTGAAGTGCGGCCGCGCCTGCCATAAATTCCTCTGTGAGGCTCTGACAGTCCTGTTCGAGTCCTCCTACCAGTTGGTGGTGTGGCCACATGCCCAGACAAAAGGCTCAGGCGACAGCAGCAACGACAACAATCGCCATGGATACCACGGTTTGATGACCTGGCAAAAGAACGCAAAGCAAATAAGCGTCCGGGACGACCGTGCGAGCTCTTGTGGCGACAAGCTTCAGGTAGTTGGGAAAACAAGTATACCTTGGATCCCGC